TTTTTTTTTTTTTGAATCTGTTTATCAAAGTTGTCCAAACTTTTGTTTAATTTTTTTAAACGGGACAGGATTATGCAGTGAGGCAGTTTACATTATTGTCGTTTAGCGTTCTATACCAAATGCAATAGATGGTTTGAAACCGAGTCAGCGAAAAGTTTTGTATACTATGTTCAAATGTTACAACCGCGGCGAAGTCAGAGTTAGTCAGCTGGCTGGCGCTGTTGCCCAGTATTGTTGTTATCATCATGGTGAGGTATGGGACATGAGAGTAGCTGCTTTATTTTTCAAAGGTTTTGTTTATTTTTTCTCACTCTCAGAAAGCTTCAGATGTTATGAACATTTACCTGGTTTAGAAGTCACTCGTGGAAACTATTGTGAGGTTAGGTCAAAATTTTGTTGGAGCAAATAACATCAATCTGTTGGAACCAATAGGACAGTTTGGTACGAGAATGCTTGGTGGTGCAGATGCTGCCAGTGCAAGATATATATATACAGCTTTGAGGTTAATCTTTTTTGCTCTTTGTTCTTTTTGGCACGTCTAGTTTTGCTTGAATAAGAAATAAAGGTTATTTTATTTTGGAATGCGACTTTTAGTATTTCCTGTGCTAATTAACTTTATTAGTTTAAGAATATGCATAAATCAAAGTTCTCATATTTAAGACATTCACAAAATATTCAATATTTACTTCCAGCCCTATTGCTAGAGCTATTTTTCCAGAAGCGGACGACAAGATTTTGATTTACCGTGAAGAAGAGAATTCAACTGTGGAACCTGTATGGTATGTTCCGAATTTCAAGTGTTTTTGTTCTCAATATGAAAACAAAATTTTAAAATTTTTTTTGCTTCTTTGTGGTTTACCAAAGTTATTTGTCTTATTTTACTAGCATTTTTAGTGTCAAAATTTGCCCGTGTTTTCATAAAAAGTTTTTTGATCTGTATTTTAAGGTTCTGTCCCGTGATACCTTTAATTCTTGTAAATGGAGCTGAGGGTATTGGCACAGGTTGGGCAACAAAAATCCTTCCTCGATCTCCTTTAGATGTAATCGACAATGTACGTAGAGCGATCACTGGACTACCGCTGAAAAAAATGGTATCTTTCATTCCACCTTACTGATCATTTTTTGCGACGCTTTCTGATATTTTCAAATTTTTTGTTATGTTGCTATAATTTTACGGTCTTAGATCTGGTTACTCGGGATATGATTAAAAAACAATAAAAAATTAGAAGATTTCTTATTCGGCGAAATGGATTGTAATTTGCAAGTGGCTGCGCTGCATTAAACGAAACGATGTTTTGTTGCCATTGCGTACTTATTTATTTTTTCGATAAAAAAGGTGTTGCAAAAAAATTATAAATCAAAATATGGAATTCTGTTTTTGGAGGGAGTGAGAGGCGGTATGTATTGCACTTTTTATTTGAAGATGATATAGCTCTTTTTTAAACTACTTTTTTAAAATCAGTTGGTGTATTATGGTAATTTGGGCAATTACTTCTTAGTTTTCAAGTCTTTTTATACGTTTATTAGGAAGTCAAGGAGTTAATTTACACCCAGTTGGCAAAATTCTTTGAAACTTATTAGTTTTGGTATGCTATTCACAAAACTAAGACCTCTGTAGCTCCTGAAATACTATTATTCCTGTTTTTTGATAACACGGTCCAAATGCTCTACTTATCTGTACGAATCAAATAACAACTAAAGTACTGTAGATTGTACAAGTTTTGATACTTTTGTTTCTACTCATCCAAAAAAGACTCTCCAACCGCTTATGATGGGTGTACTTT